CTGTTGCATTGTCATAGCAATCTCTCAGACTCTCTCCATTATTGAAATAAACAATTCCACAAAATAAGGAGAAGACTTCTATGCAACAAGTGATGCTACATTATATATATAAGAAATAAGAAGTCGATAATAATTTATAACATGCTATTAAAATTTTAGATTTATATAATATCATAGTAAAATGTAGATGATTAAGTTGAGTATAAATTGCTTGATTATTATTTTGTTTATGTATTAAAAATTTATTGACTCATTATATTGTGTCAAATTAATGTATTACATTTTATATTATTATTATTTTCTTTTATGAGGACATGGATTAATACACTTTCACAATTATCTTATTAGTTGTTTGTAAACAAAGAGGGAGCTCCAAAATTGAGATTGAGACTCTAATGGTTAGGTTAAGGTGACTTCTATATCCACCCAACCCCTCCATCTAAAAATTTGATTTATCATGTATTCAAGTGTGTGTACAGGGACTGAATTGTGAAGAATTAAACATTAAGACTGAAATCTAAAAGTCATTAAGAATTTGGCCTGAAGAGTGAATTTACTGGGGTCTGAGTCTCAAAATTGAAGCTGGAAAAACAGTGGCATTAGTGGGACACAGCGGATCAGGCAAATCCACTATTATTGGATTGACCAAAAGATTTTACGACCCACAAAGTGGAACTGTACTGATTGATGGACGTGACATCAAGAGCTACAATTCGAGAAAGTTAAGATCACACATTGCATTGGTGAGTCAACAGCCCACTGTTTTTGCATTAACTATCCGCGAGAATATTAGTTATGGCAAAAGAGGCAAAGGGCATGCAACAGAAGCCGAGATAAGAAAGGCTGCAACCCCAGCCAATGCTCATGAATTTATAAGGTATTGCTTCTTTTCCTAGGAACTTGACACCTATCTATCAATATAATAACCCATATGTATCTGATGCAGTTCCATGAGTAATGGATATGTCACGTACTATAGTGAACGAGGAGTCCAACTATCAGGAGGCCAAAAGCAGAGGATTGCATTGGCCAGAGTCATACTGAAGAATCCAACTATCCTTCTCTTGGATGAGGCCCTTGATAGTGTCTCGGAGAATCTTGTCCAAGAAGCACTAGAGAAGATGATGGTAGGCAAAACATGTGTAGTCATAGCTCACCGATTATCCACAATACAAAAGGCAGACTCCATATATAGCTGTTATAAAGAACAGGAAGGTTGTACCAAGGATCTGTTGATCCGGTTGAAACGTTGAGTTCAACTCTTGTGAATGTAAGACGAGACGTTAGAGAATTTATTTTAGATTCAATATGGCTTCTAAATACCGGGAGTTAATAAAATAAAAAGAGAACAGAAAGGTTGTGGAAGAAAGCTCTCACTCCAGTCTACTAACCAGAGGGCGTGGCCGGACTTACCACTCCCTAGTCAAGCTATAACATGGTCATTCCCCTTACAGTTGAGCCACTTCAAGTGTGAGGAAAATTGCCTAAATATACATATCCTATAGCTCTGTGAGAATTTGTTTACTTTAATGAAGAATTAAGCAGGAATCGAAGACGATCCCCATTCCTGCCTAACATTAGCCACCATGAATCTATGATGAATTTTAGCTAAAAATTGAAACTTTTTTGGTACAGTACATGGTGAAAGTTCTAGTTCTAATTTTTCGTGATCATGGTTTCTTTCCTCCATTGAATCACAGTAATATAGCAGTCCTAAATTCATTCTCTACTAAAGGAAACAGAAATTTTCGTATTGTGAGGGAAATCAATCATGGATTCCATGAGAAATTCAGCAATTAAGGAAATATAAAAGGGAAAATTAAGAACAAGTTCATTCGCATTCTGAGGCTCTATCTTTGTTAATCAAGAAAAAATGGTAAAACGAAAGAATGTACCTTGCTGTTCGGAGGTGAAGCATGCTTCAGTTCGGTGATCGGCTCGCCGGAGTCCATTACCGGCTACTTCTCTTCTGTTTAACCTGAACATTACTGGGCCCGTGGCTGAAAATTTCAGATTTTAAAAAAATTCATTGGGCTATTTAGATGGACCTGGTGCGGTTAGTGGACTTGGAACATAACAAGCCCAACCTCCCACCTCTTTGGCTGATATATAGATATAAATATAAATAATATTTATCCGTCTTAACTCTTGAAGATTAAAGAGAATATTATTTTAAAATTACATCATTTTAATAAATATATGATAAAAAAACCTAAAATATTCTATTTTAAAGCATGAATTATGATGTTTTTTTGTCCTTTTTCCTCATAATTTTTTAGAAATAAAGCAAACAAACACTAACTCTTGTATATATTTTGTTAACTTATTATTCAATTCAATTCAATATTTCTCATCAGTAAATTAAAAAAACATAAAACCAAAAACTAAAAAAACATCAACATGTAACATGGGCTATTTTATTTTATTTTATTTTGATGGAGCTGCGGTTGGTTGCTGTTAGAGGATAGCTTACGGCTCTTGCCTTTTTTCTATATACTACTTCCCCACCTTACTCAAATTGAATATTATATGAATATGAAACTTTTAAGTTAGAGCCACATAATTTAGAATGAAATTTTGTTTTTTCAGTTAAACTCACCATCCAAATAAAATTTGGCCTTAATTATAGGGGTTAAATTTATTAGTAAACAAGTGTGATTTTATAAGTTAGATTTAGTATTTAAATTTTGATATTAGAATCTAAAAAAATTAATCAATTTGACCTCATATACACATTCAAGAACCACACATCAATTCATCAAAAATAAAAAGAACCACACGTCAACATCTACTTGTTGGGTTTGCTTGGACTTGTATTTTTTTTTTATCAATCTGCAATAAGAAGAAAAACGCTCTTTATTTGAAATAATGCTCAAACATATAATATATATATATAAAGTAATTAAGCAAGCAAAAATGAAAAAAAAAAAAAAAATTACATCTTCATCTGCAAAAACTAATATTACTTCGTCCTTTTCCAAGAAAAAATTAAACTTGCTGCTACGTAATTAGAAA